TGTGTGTGTGTGTGTGTGTGTGTGTGTGTGTGTGTGTGTGTGTGTGTGTGTGTGTGTGTGTGTGTGTGAGTGTTAGAGTGTGTGTGTCTGAGTGTGTGTGTCTGTGAGTGTGAGTCTGTGTCTGTGTGTGTGTGTGTGTGTGTGTGTGTGTGTGTGTGTCTGAGTGTGTGTGTCTGTGAGTGTGAGTCTGTGTCTGTGTGTGTGTGTGTGTGTGTGTGTGTGTGTGTGTGTCTGAGTGTGTGTGTCTGAGTGTGTGTGTCTGTGAGTGTGAGTCTGTGTCTGTGTATGTGTGTGTGTGTGTGTACAGGTTTATATATCCTGGTGGGGACTCATGGGGACTCGTGTCACGGTGGGGACCTAAATTGAGGTCCCCATGGGTACAAAAGCTTATAAATCATACAGAATGAATTTAAAGTAAAAATGCAGAAAGTTTCCTGTAAGGGGTAGGTTTAGGTGTAGGGTTGGTGTAGGGCAATAGAATATACGGTCTGTACAGTAGAAAAACCATTACGCCTATGGGGTGTCCCCACAAGGATAGCTGACCAGACGTGTGTGTGTGTGTGTGTGTGTGTGATCTGACACAACTGCTCTCTAAGATGTCAGATGTGACTCAGCAGATCTGTTGTGATCATGTGACTGTAGATGGTTTAATGTTCCACACACTGTCTTGTCAAATCTTTATTAAATAACAGTGTTTGGTCAAAGAGCTTCTGCAGACATGAAACAAACATGAACTGGCCTTCAGGAGTCTGACCAGAGATTCTGCACTATTTGGCATTTGTTGAAATAAGTACAACACCAAATTACGTACAGTATATTGCCAGTTTAACTCTTTCATGTAAGAGTCTTTCGTCTCTCGTTTTCACGTAAAACACGTATAGATGTGCGTCACATGCATGTCTGTGATTGTGAGCGTTTTTAGAATGCAATTTCATGTTAAAACTATTTCAACTTTTAAAAAATGCATCTGAAGACCCTTGAATTCATGTCGTTTCTCTCTGTATGTGAGTGTGATGTGATCCCGTCTAACCGCACAGTTCCACCCAAATCTAGCATAAGCCATCACAAAATTAAAAACCAGGCTGCACTTCGACTGGTTTGAAATCCTGTGAAGTGAGAAGTCACAGAGTGAATCTATTTGACTCTGTGTGTGTGTCTGGTGTGTGTGTGTGTGTGTGTGTGTGTAGGAGTTTGATTGTGTTAAATCCAATTTGGCTGCCGGTTGTTCCTCTTTTTATTCCTCTTCCCACAATAATGCGTCAGTTTATTTGTGTCTTGCGAACCCCACATTGCCGCCCGCTGCCACATGATGTGATTGGACAGTGTTTCCTGTGTTAGAACACCTGATTGTCCAATCACGTCGCTGCTGAGTGCTCTGTTCCTCTCATTAACTCGGTTAGCTGGGTATTTATTTAACAGCTGCTTTGCTAATCTGGCCTCTTCCTGTACAACATGTCTGGTCCAGGAAATCTGTTTATTTGCTTTGGAGTCTGACGGGAGTTTCTCGGTTCATGTGGCACAGAATCAGAGGATGTTTCGGATGCATACTTGCTCAAACGCCGTTGTACATACTTCACATGCAATCTTGTGTGGGTCTGACAGTAACAAACCCCACTGCTCAAATGCTGCGGCAGCGAGCGCTGAGAATGCAACACGTGCTTGCATTTCAGAATGCAGCAACGCACAAAAATAAGCACGAGTAGAAGTGTTTGCATTCACGTGCCATGCACACACACACTCATCTGAACTGAACTCAGTGTCCGATGGGGATTCTATGGGAATAATTGGTTCTCATGAGGTGTTTTGTTACTATCACTGATGATCTGGAAGGTCAAACGCACTGAGGAGCTCCTGTTCTTCAGCTGCTCTGAAAGGCTGGAGAGAAACCCGTTCATGAGCGTCTCATCTAACCGTGATCCCTGAGCACTTTACAGCGTTCCAGTGAGGATAATGCCACAAAATGCACTTTGAAGCAGTTATGATGCACTCCAAGTAAACTTAAGACGTCTTGGGAGGCACTCTGATAACCGATTGCTTCCCATATATTGTGATTTGTCTGCGTTTGTTTACACATTCATATAATCTGACATGTATTCCAATCAACCACGTTTCCAGTTCCCAAATATATTTGTGACTGCTTCTCTGTCATTTGTGTGATTTTTGCAGGAGCTTATTAAAAATATTGTCGAATGCACAGAGAAACTCCATGTACAATGAAGCTTAACTAGACCAACTTCGTTATCAATAGCCAGGTTTCCATCCAAAGTTAACTTATGTGCATAATATAAATTGTAATATCGCATAAAGCGTTTGTGAATAAGCATCGTTTCCATCCATCGAGTCAAAGAGAACAAAACCGCCACTTCCTGATAAACTGGCACTATATATCACTAAGAAAAATAGAAGAAGCCATTGAATATAATAATTTTCATATATAATAAATAACTTGTGCCTCAGAGCGAGCAGACGAAACAATATAAAAGTTGCTTTCAAAGGCGGATGTCTGCTGTTTGTGAAGGCAGTCATGCAAGACAGTAAGGGCATTTTAGAATGACTATAACATTTCAGATGCTGCGCAGCGAGATCCGTCCACTGGTTAGTCAGGTTTTGCCGTCCCATAGTGCAAAGTTGCATGACTTTTTTTTTTATGTGCATGGAGGAATTTATTTGGCAAATGCGTTTCCATCTCCCATTATTCGCATTAACCCTCAAAAAGTCAAAAACCACCTCAAGCGAGCATAAAAACATTTTTGAGAATTAAGGGATTTGGGATTTGGCTTTCCATCACTTGTTTCTCATGCGATACTTCAAAATGCGCATAAAAACAGGGTGATGGAAACATAGCTAATATCGCACTGAATTTAGCACTTGAATATGAATTAGTAAGATTGTTCATCAGTAATCGTTTCTGTTCCAAATCTAAATCTCTCTAAACTCTGTTTCTCAGGATGAAAATGAGACGTCACAGGGTTTTCTTGATTTGCACGGTGGGACTGTGTGTCATTTCCTTCCTGCATTACTACAAGGCTCTCCACTACGTGTCCCTGCTGAGGGAGTTGTCCGCACCTTACCCTAACATCAAATCCTTCATCATGGTCACTGGTTTCTTCTGGAAGGAGGGCAGCACCCCGCTGTCCAGCGCGTCTCCAGAGGAAGGGCCTCGGCTGGTCCACAGCAAGCCCCGGGCCGGAGGAGGCCTGGAGCTCGACACCAGACAAGAACCTGAAGCACCACAGCCGTGGAAGAGACCTGAAGATCCGCAGCGCAGGAGTTCGGGGACGACAGAGGTACCAGCGCTGCTCTTCTGTGAAGTCATGTGTGATTTCCGCACCAGACAAACCCTCCCCCCTCTGTCATTGGTCAGTCAGACAGATAGTCCCGCCCCCAACTCATCCGATTGGGTAGGTTAGGATAGGGCTGGGCTGAACGATTTTTCCGATTTTATCGATAAATTCGAATTTAATGTTTTGCCACGATCAGACTGAAAGCTGCTGTTCATTGTTTTTACAGAACATCTATAGTATAGTCTACTGGTGTTATACCTTTTGAATTTGAATTACCTTGATTTTTTAGATATTTTAAAGCATTTTCCTTGTATTGTTTCGGAACATATGTATAAGATAAGTTTGTAGAAGATGTAGTTATAGTTCATGCATCTTTTTTTTTGCAAAGATATTTAACATGGGATTTGTTGAACATTTGCATCATGTTGACAGCTTCATGAGTGCTGCACTTGGAATAGAATTTTCTTTAACTAGAGGGTTAATAAAGAAAAAGTTACTCTAATCATGTTGTAGTTACATTTTCAAATTGAGTAGTTAAAAATCGTAAAAAATCGATAATTGGTCAAAAGTCGCCCAGCCCTAGGTTAGGGTCAACCATTACACTAAGTCAAAAGTTGACATGGGGTCACCCAAACAAACAGATTAATGTTGTGAGCCAAAGAGCTAAAACATGCAAGAGAATAACAATACATACATAATATAATGCATAAAATAATTATATACATATCATTTTGAATTTTGAGTTGTCCAGGTATTTAAACAATCAGTGTGGCTAATAAATATTCAAGATTGTGATTACTGCTTCCACTATTGATTGTGACTGTGTTGATTACAACATTAGACTCCCATTGTGTCTCAAGTTTTTCACGACAGATGCTCACTTTTGTTTGCTTTGGCACATGAAAATAAAAGCAGATTTGATGCTGTGCAATTCGCTTGAGATGTAGAATGTGGTGGATTCGCTACTAGAACTAGAAAACGGCCCGCTGTAATCAAGTGAATTTTATAAATCGGATACAATTCCGGTGCTTGATTCTGATTGGCTGAGCTGCGTTCGAAGCTGTTGTACATTACACTACAAACATACACCTTTGTTTACGTTTGTGTGTTGCTCGGCAACCACTTTGTTGCAACCACAACTGTTTCTGAGGAGCTACATTGTTTGGTGGAAGAATACTGTTTTTATTAATATCATTAAATTTTATTTGCTTTGTTTTTTTTTTTTGTGAAACCTTGCTACGTATATGGAATAACCGTTTTATAAAAGCAATAAGCCCCGTGAAGCCGTGGTTTACAGTGAATTTATAACAGCTAACTCCACTTCGCGTCGTGCCTAACAACGGCCCTTAGCTGTTATAAATTCACTGTAAACCACAGCTATTTGGGGCTTATTGCTTTAATGATTTGTGTCATCCGTTTAGCCCTAAGGCTGATGATACTCGGGGCAACTTTTTGAGCAGTTTTGCTTGGGCACTATCCCATTGAGAATGGGTAACAAATTTCTATCTGGATATTTTAGATTGGTCGTTGGCCCTGTGTCTCACCTGGTTGCCTGTTGATGTTAATGTTGTCCGGCAACATCGCTCAAAAAGTTGCCCCATGTATCATCACCCTAAGAGTCAGTGAAACTTGTGTCCAGATTCTGCTGTCTTCTCATGGGGCTTGTTCTTCATTAATCAGGTCCATAAGGGAGGTTTGATCGCCTGGCAGCCTAGCAGCCCGACCAACCAGAAGCCCGACCCGCAGAGAGACGCTGCGGTGAACAAGCTTCAGCCGCGTCACGCCTCGACTCCAGACCCGCTGGAATCCCTGGGTGGCCTGCACCGCCGCACCCACGTCCTCCAGGATGACCGCTCCCCTTATTTCGTCCGCACCAAAGCAGGCGCTCTGTGCTTCCGTCAGGGGACGGAGGTGGCTCCGCCTAAAGACGAGACGTTGAAAGCAAGACCCAGCATAGCTGGCCTCGGCCAGCGGAGAATACTGCAGAAGCCAGACGAGTCAAAGACTCCAGCGAAATCAGTGGAGGAGTCCGGTGCCGCTCAAGGGAAGCCCAAGCATGGCAAGCGACTTGTGAAGTGCGTTTGTCGGCCGGGATGGCACGGTCCTTACTGCGGAGTGCCCACTATGGTGTACCACTCCAATCTGCCCACGAAAGAGAGACTGACCCCCCGCGAGATGCCTCGACGCGTCATAAACGCCATCAACGTGAACCACGAGTTTGACTTGTTGCACGTGCGCTTCCGCGAGCTCATCTGGGCCGTGGATCTCTTCCTCGTGTGCGAGTCCAACTTCACGGCATACGGAGAGAGGCGTCCACTGAGGTTCCTGCATCTGCTGCTCAACGGAACGTATGATTACGTGCGCCACAAGATCCTCTATGTCTTCCTGGACCATTTCCCAGAGGGCGGCCGACAGGACGGATGGATCGCCGACGACTACCTGCGCACGTTCCTGACTCGCGACGGCATGGCGCGGATCGCAGGCTCGCGGCCCGACGATGTTTTTCTCATCAACGATGCAGACGAGATCCCGGCTCAGGAGGGAGTCCTTTTCCTTAAGCTTTTCGATGGCTGGACGGAGCCTTTCGCCATCCACATGCGGAAGTCCCTGTACGGATTTTTCTGGAAGCAGCTGGGCTCCCTCGAGGTGGTCTCCGGATGCACCACCGGGATGCTGAGGGACGTCTACGACAACGATGGGATTCGGCTCCGGCGGCGGGAGTACTACACCATGCCGGGATTCCGGAAGTACGAGAACGACACCGGACACATCTTGGTGCAGTGGTCGATTGGAAGTCCGTTCCATTTCGCAGGCTGGCACTGCTCCTGGTGTTTCACGCCAGAGGGAATTCACTTCAAACTCATTTCGGCCCAGAACGGGGACTTTCCTCGCTGGGGCGACTACGAGGACAAGCGCGATCTCAGCTATATAAGGGAGCTGATCCGAACCGGGGGCTGGTTCGACGGCTCCGTGCAAGAGTACCCTCCATCGGACTCTAAGGAGCACATGTATGCCCCCAAATACATGTTGGATAATTACGATCACTACCGCTACTTGTTGGAGAACCCTTACGCCAAGCAGTCCAACCTAGGAGGAGCGTAGAGCAGAATGAGGGCCAAAGATGGTTTGACAGTAAGGAAGGGGAACAGAGAGGGAGAGAAGAGAACGCTGTCCTGTTCCTCTCTTTCCTCTCTTTCTCATTGGTCCCAACATCCAACACCGTCCAATATGTGAACACAGGCCTTGCAGAGACCAACAGCAAACTGTTTCTGTTCTGTTTTGGTCAATGTTTACATGAATGATTCCCAGCGTTCTTTGAGAGACTCAACGCCTCCTGTGTTCACTGTACAAGACTGTGTGTGTGAGAGAGAGTGAATGTGTGTGTGTGTGTGTGTGCGATCAGTCTCATTGGTGCACAGACTTTCTTGCTTGCACTTCAGAATCAAAATAAGAAAACTCATTGCACAAATGCCACATTTTTGGGTCTGTTGACAGCTTGTAAATTCCTCCGAACTCAACGTCTCTTTCCTCGGTCAGAAAAATATCTTTGTGTATCATTGTGAGCTGTTCTGAATGAGTTTGTGGACGAGAGAGAGAAAGAAAGAGGCCATTCGAGAGAAACGGGGCTTTGTTTGAGCTCTGCTGGGTTCTGATGGAGCTGATATGTGAGATTGTGCCGAGCGAGAGAGGTAACAAATGAGCTTCCTGTTTGAGAAATCCTTGCGGAAAACATCCTAAAGCTGGGAAAAGAGCTGTTTTCAAGTCAGATATTTAGTCTGTGAACCACCCATGTTGTGTACAAGAATGGTGAGACGCCTGATAAAAATAAGTCAGAGGCTCTGTTCCAAACTCGTGAGATGCCTACGTAGGCAGCACTTTAAGGCATCACAGCTGCATCCCTACACAAAGGTTGTTTCAAATCATCTGCTGCCTTCTAAGATACCTTCTTTTGGCCAAATTTAAAATTCTAATTCATTTTTTTTCAGAGAAGGCGTGATCTGAGAATGCATTGTGACAATCTACTTTCCATCCATGATGGCGGACAAAGACTTGTTGATTATAAATGCAATGTATTCAATACAGAAAAGCATTGATATAAACGGTGTAGTCCAATGTGTATTTTTTGTTGTTAGTTTAGCAACATGCATCATGCTTAACTGGAATCAGCAATGCAGCTCACTGTGTTTTGGAACAGAGCCATGTACTGTTTGGTGGTCTTGGCTCTCTCGTGTTTTAATTTTAAGTCGGAGCAGGGAACAGTTTCTTATGAAATCCAGTTCTGGAAACTCCCTGTCTTCAGAGCTGTGAAGCCATCTGATCGCATTCGAGATCTGTGGAGAATTACATTTACACAGCGGCACCAGAGATCTGAAGAGTTGCGTATGATTTGACAGTAGGATAATTCTGTCATTTTCTTCTGGCGCTGTTAAAGTCAACATGAAATCAACATTGACTTTCTTCATTCATGTTCTTATTGTGAATGATTCGCCATTAATATTACAGCTGACATCATCAATCCACTGACACCGTCTGATCACTTCATCATGGGAAAAAAAATCAAGTCCCATCCTACATTTATTCTCACACTTTCATTGCAGAAATACAAGTACAATGGGTTGTGAATGTCATTTCATGTTGACTTTAATCCCCAAAACTCCCATAAACATGGAATCACTTCCGAAGAACATTCTCTCTCTGTCAGACATGCTGCTAAAAACAGGTCTCCAGATATAGAAAATATCTGTGCGGGGAATTAAAATACTGCCATGGTGAAATATATATCACCAATAGTCAAGGGTCATGAATTTACGCTTGCATATGACTTCACTGGTGTCTGTGTAAAAGGTAATTCGGCCGTGACACTACACATATCCGTGTGGCCTGTTCGTGCCGCTGACTGCTGTTCTGTGTCCCAACAGCAGCACATTATAAACAGACTAAAGATAGAGACAGCGTTCGATGTCTGAAGACATAACAGATCTCCGCAGAGAGACAGGTGCACAAGCGTTTATAGTGCTTCATGCCACTGTGATTGCAGTGCGCTCGTGACCTTCATGTGCACAGTAAACGAGAGCTCGAATCTGTGTGAATTCCACATGGGAATAGAGTCGGAATGTTGAGCTTTTATTCCAGTGACCTCCAGTGAGACAATTGCATTCTTATCCTGAAACTCGAGCATTAATGAGCAGACTGGAGTTCGTTTCATTCTTACTGAATCACAATCCGTTCACATCTGCATATCAAGCAGCCTACAGATGCAGGAATATCTGTATTAGTGGCCTTATGAATTAGTTGACATCATATTTTACAAGCAGGAGAGCCAAACTCATATCCGAGTTCACATCTGCAGGATGAGATCCGTTCATCCATAACCGTCGTGCCACATATGTGACCTTGGAGCACAAAACCAGTCATAAGGGTCAATTTTATGAAATTGAGATTTATACATCATCTGAAAGCTGAATAAATAAGCTTTCCATTGATGTATGGTTTGTTAGGATTGGACAATATTTGGCTGAGATACAACTATTTGAAAATCTGGAATCTAAGGGTGCAAAAAAAATCTAAATATTGAGAAAATCATCTTTAAAGTTGTTCAAATGAAGTTCTTAGCAATGCATATTACTAATCAAAAATTAAGTTTTGATATATTTACGGTAGGAGATTTACAAAATATCTTCATGGAACATGATCTTTACTTAATATCCTAATGATTTTTGGCATAAAAGAAAAATGTATAATTTTGACCCATACAGTGTATTGTTGGCTATTGCTACAAATATACCCCAGTGACTTAAGACTGCTTTTGTGCTCCAGGGTCACATTTAGTTCAGAAGAACGTGGCTAGATTTGAACCTGTGTGACAGCAGGTGCTCAGAGGAGGTTTTGTGTTGAATTTAATGATCGTTTTGCTCATTGAGGTGTTTGGCTGTAGATCAGGAGCTCACATACTCTCTCTCTCTCTCTCTCTCTCTCTCAGTTAACAAACATTCACTGTTTTAAACTTATTGTCTTTTTTGTTTTGTGTTGTTTGCTGTAGTAAATGTTGTTGCTGTTTACATTATTTATCTTATTTATTACTCTCCTGTTTCTATGTAGAAAAGGGAAGCTCGGTTTGTCAGAGAAGTGAGAAGTTCTTCTCTGACTCGGTATGAAAGACTGAAACACTTCTCTCTTCCACGTCTCGTCCTCTCGCACCGTATTATTCATCTTAAACATGATGGTAAAAGGCACTCATGAACCTTCTGGGCCAGAAACACTTTATGGTAGTATGCAAGCGCACATGCTCTTGTGCTATTGAGATTCAGCGGTTTCTTCTATATTTTGACGTACAGACAAGTGTACAAATTATCAGAAAAAGAAAAAAATGTAGAGCAGAACTTGGTGCTGTGGATTGGTTGCTATTTGGATGTGGGCGTGGCATTCATAAGTCTATGCAGATGAGTGTGAGCGTTCACAGGGGCGGAGTTTAAGAGCGCTAAATGATTGGAGAAAACCTGTATATATCACTAGTCAGTTAAGACTTTTCAATTAAACATTACGAGGTCAAAAAATGAAAGATAAATTGTTCACAATAAGATCAATAACTTGAATTTGGGGGGAAATAAATAGAAAAAAAATAATCGAATGAATTAGAATTGGGTGAATTTTCATTCCAATTGCTGACTTTAAGGGCTGGAATACACTACATGAAGTCATTACAGATTTTAAAACACCGGACATCATTCGCACCGATAGCCTAGTGGGCAGTACTTGCGTTACACCGTGTCCTAACTACACGCGACGCGACAAGATTCCAGCCACAAGCAATTTGTCCGTCCACACCAAACGTGACGCGACAGAATCAGTCAAATATCACATCAATTAGCCAATCAGAAGCGTGTGTGGGCGGAGCCTATCTGGAAGTGCACTGCACTCGCAATGAAATGGATGTTTATGATCCAGTTCATAAATATTAAACTTTTTAACATTATTAAATGTACATACTGACTGATACCATCTTTGTTATGGAATACACTTGTTGGTTCGCATTGAGCTCACAATTTTAACGTGCTTTAATTTATTTTCAAGATCTAAGGTAAACTATCTATTTGTTGCTTTCAGTATGGCTATAAGGTCACACAAAATGATATTTAAACTCATATTAGACACGTTTAACTTTGAATAAAGCACATAATCACTTGAGATTATCTACTGTCATATAGTTTGTAGGGCTGGGAAAATAAATCGATGCATCGAGAAATGATTCCGCATCGATTTTGTGATTTTCCGAATGCGTCGCGATTCTTTCTCGAGTCGATTCTGAGCGTAGTTTTGAACAGCAGATGGCGCTGCATGCTTTAGAAACAGCCGTACTCTGCTCGTTTCCAAATCCTTACACACACTTGAACCTAAAATAATCGTTTATAAAATTCGAAAAGGTTGAAGCGAATTACAAGCGTCATAAAAGCATTCTGAGCCGAGGTGAAATTACAGACTCCAGAGAGAAAGAATCGCGATGCATTCGGAAAATCATCCACGAATTGATTCTGCATAGATTTATCGTCACAGCCCTAATAGTTTGTATGCTGTCCAGCTGCGACATCATGGAAATAGAAAACGTTTCTAAAATAGAAATTTCGCATGCCGCCGTCGCAGTTAGTTAGGACAAAAACTCATGGAAAAGATACCTTTTATCGCATGTCGTGGTGTCGCGTCGTGTGTAGTTAGGAAACGGTGTTACAAGTGCCCCGAGTTCGAATCCCGGCTCATAGACTTTTCCAGTTCCTGCCCCCATTACTTGCCAACTTTGAAATAGTTTCAAACAAAAACGGGCATCACTAAAGGACTGAAGATCACACACTTGAGACTTGAGAGAGTTTCATGAACAACAAACTCATGCAGTTGGTAGGAGATGCATAACAAATGAAAACAAAATGTGTTTTAAAATTGGCTCAACAATATTTATTCAAATAACATCAGCTTTGATATATTCTGACTGGATGGAATCAAAGTCTGAAGCTAAAGTCTGTACTCACCATACGCGGTTTTATTACATCTGAGTCTGATGTTCAGTAACTCGCATCGACTTGTCCAGACTGAAAATCGAGGGGAAGATCTGTACAAATGTCGTGTAATGTATTCCAGCCTTTAACAAGATTCTCTTAAACTCTTGCTCCACCATGACAGAACGAGAAAACTGACGCTCTACTGTAGTAGCGACCCTGATAACACACATACATCACGGAGACGTCTATTTGACGTCTTCATTTACATCTGCAAGACGTCTAAAGGACGTTTCCTATCAGATGTCAAATAGACGTCTATTAGATGTCTCTAAGATGTTTATGATTTAGAATGAATGTAAAACAGACGTCTGTCAGATGTTTGTACACAGCAGACGCTTTCCAGATGAAGAGATCTTTAACAGACATCTTGCAGACTTACGTGTGCTATCTGGGAACTGAGAACGCAGCGCGCATGCGCAGTAAATAGATCTCCGGCACGTTTCCGTCCGCATACTTGCGTAAAGTTTGATTCTGGTCTTTATCTGGCGTTTGTCTTTTGACTCACCTGTGAATGGTGTCGTCTCATTTATCAGGAAGCTTTGCTTGCAGCTCGTACCGTTTGTTTTGTGATAAACGGATGAACGCGAGCGCTTATATAAAATACAAGGTTTTATACGGAATGAAAGCACGAACGAAAGAGCGTTAATCATGAGGTGGCATACACTTACACAACACCTGGATATTAAATATGTGTGCATGACTGAGCCGCTGTCATCAGCTTCATCTGCTGTTTGAAGAAGATGATGATTCGCGTGATCGTCAAACACGCTCAGGGCTCCACAAACACACGTGATCCTTCAGGAAATGTGAACGTCAGAATCTCCTGTGCTGTCAAACTGTTCATATCTGGTTTTGATATATTTACGGTAGGAAATTTACAAAATATCTTCATGGAACATGATCTTTACTTAATATCCTAATGATTTTTGGCATAAAAGAGAAATGTATCATTTTGACCCATACAATGTATTGTTGGCTATTGCTACAAATATACCCCAGTGACTTAAGACTGCTTTTGTGCTGCAGGGACACAAATTATGTTTAACAGAAGAAATTTAAGATAAATTAATTGTTCTACAATTATTTAATTGAGAGATCAGGTTAATAGTTTCATACTCCATGGTAAATATGGATCTCTGAGGAGAAAAATTGTGTTCATAGAACACGAGTGAAGAACACACTTCAAACCGTTCAGAAGTTCACTAGTGAACTGAGTGTACACTAGAGGGCAGCATGTGCTCACACACACACACACACACACACACACACACACACACACAATACTGAACACAACTACAGTCAGACGGCAGGAGATTTCTCTGAGGAAGGAGAACATTGAAAAGCTGCTAATAATATTCTGTTATTGAGAGATGTAATGTGATTAAGGATGATTTGTGATCACGATCAAACTATGTCATGACTAGATTGTAGGTTTACTGTGATGACTAGTTTTAAACCAGTTGAGCAGTTGTTTCTGGTGACGCTATTATTGTCCCTCACTGAGAAATGATCCGTGTTGTCTTTCAGAACAAGCAGATGAAGAACGGAGCGAGTCTGTGCTGGAGAAATGAGAAGTGAATGAACTGAAATGTTCTGCACGACTCGTATAATATTTGGGCCAGCGGATTGAAATGAATGAAAAACGACATCTGAGTATTTTGTTGCTGAATTTAATAGAAACAGTATAAACATACACAGGTACAAATGAGCAAAAACAAGTGAGAATACAGAAATACTTGTTTCCCTGCAGAAGGTCTGTGCAAACGTACGGTTTAGCACCAGTTCATGGAACAACCTCATTTTAGGCACCCAATGAACATGAAAAACAAAATACAAAAACCTCCCGGTTTCATGACTTAATTTCCCTGAAACTGAATCTCAGACAGAAGCATGATGTATTGTTGAAGTGTTTGTGAGATCAGATTCACAGACCATCACACGCTGATCTCAGAGCAGCTGCTGAACAAGACCAATCAGTGGAATGTCCCATGACTGATTTACTGCAAACATCATTTATATATTGCTCTTATTATTATGTTTTATGGGTTATTTTATGATGCTCTTCAGTCCCATTCCTCAGCATCTTTCATTACGGTTAAAGAGAGTGCATGATCTTCTTAAGAACGTCTTTTGCTCCACAGAAGAAAGAAACCACACGAGGTCTAACTGCTCTTTAGAGACACAAAACATCATGATAATCTGCGTGAACAGAAACAGCATTACTACTGTAGAGCTGCAGGAGAATATGGCCCTGCGCTGTTTACAGACTGGAGTTTACACTGGCGTCAGTTTGAGATGAGTTTTGAGTTTGAGGGAAGAAGTGTAAAGAGTTCAGTCAAATGGGAATACGACAGAATTATTTTCAGGACACG